GATCGATAGAATAGGTATTTTAAAAGATGTATGTTATTCATCATAAACATGAAATTCATAATGGATCTACCTTTTACTTTGAATTACAAAGTACCGAAACAACAATTTATGCCTACAATTGTTAAATGGTCAAACACAAAGAAAAGGTATCGCAAGATAATATTTTACAGAGAGAACACGTCATTACGTTTTAAAAACAGCTGCAATGTCATTGGTACAAACAGAATTCACTGGCTGAAATGAATTTTCCAATCTAAAAATAGAATCAAACTCATATCCAATAGTCATGCAGCAAAGACAATTAAGTGCACGTGCGTAAATCATGTGTATTGGTGGTGGTAACACCACAGGGTAGTGATATGCGTCTAGTACGGCATGGATCGAACGTCTCTAGAACTTTGTTGTCGCTGGCTAACCTACTTGTAGGTGAAAGGGAGAGTCGAGTGCGTAAATCAATGCCTCCTAGTGGAAATGCACGGTAACTGAGGCTTAGTGTCTCAGGCTAAATTGAAGGAAATCTCGGAGCAGAAAGGGCCACAGAGATGCAGTGTGTAGGCCCACCGGCGTGTGGATATGCCCTAGCACTCATCATCCTTACCCCAACTATGGGTCAAATAGCCCCACTGCCTTGTGGGAACTTGGGAAAGTCAAAGGCGATAGAAGAAAATCCAAACAGAAAATCTGGGGAGATGGACCTTATCGTAGTGGGAACTACAGCCATCTAAGGGAAGGACAACCCTGAAAGAAAACCCGGCCCAACAGTGTGGATGTTAGGCGTGGTGTTAACTGCTCCACCCTATAAAAACAACTGCAAACCAGACACAAACCCACTAGTCAGCCTTATGTGCCCACTGGCATGAAGAGGATAGGTAGGTAGCGTAAATCATATCCACTGAGTGCATATTTTTTATGCATTCGCAGTTATGACTAGGTGTAGTATCATATTCACTGACTGAATTTTCCATATCTAAAATCTAACCAGACTCATATTCATTGACCATGCATCATAGACTATTTACAACTGTTGCATTGTGTTCTTTATGGATTTTTTCTTGATTCAAAAATGTATTTTCTCCACAATAACAGATAAAAGTTACACCGTAATAATAAGTACATTGAAAACTTGTTTGTAATAATAGGCTTTACTTTTTGTGTTTTTTAAATATTTGGCTTATCATAAAATAAAACAATTTTTAACTGATGACCCATTGTCTATGATCTGATATTCAATGGAACACTAGTCAATAATTGTATAATGAGCCGACATGGAATTTATGTTCAAAAACAAAAGCCTGATAATACTGTGTTTTACTGTGTTGTAACATGGACCAAAAGACGCTTTACTGCAAAACAAAAGACATTATAATCATCATTACATCAGCACTAACATAATCTATTTGTCATACACTAATTGTGACTCTCTGATATGTGTCAGTATGAGTGAGTTAGTGAATTATATGTACATTGAGCCGGATGTACATTCTTAATTCACATGATCAAATCATTGATGTCACTAAAGTAAATATATTTCTTATCTGAATTTATCTTATGTTACATGTTCAATTATCTACAATAATTATTATCTATATGTCCTGTATAAATAACTAATAACCATTTAGTATTATAAAAATAAGTCGACGTAGCGCAAAACATCCTACCAACTGTAGGCCCTGATACGCTTCCGTATATTACACGCTTTTTCGCGTTTTTACGCCATTTTCGCTTTACAATTTCTTCTGATTCGCATATTAACTCTTTTGTACAAAATAACTTGGATTTAGCTCAATACAGGATTGGAGCAGTACCTCTAGACGCTTGCAGAAATCATGATCACAAAATAGACAAATATCGTTTTTTTCGCAGAATTTTACATTTTTCCTTCATTATCGTACTTAATTCGTTGTGAAAAGATGAATAAGACCTGTTAAAGTTCATTCCGTTGGGTAAAAAGACAAGATTTTAGCATTTTATCATTCAAGCGCCTTGTCCGGTATATACCGGAATACGGTATTTAGTGTGGTGCTCCAATCCTTTTTTTAGTCACAGCCAAATAACTTTACTTCATTTGTACGGAAGCGTATCAGGACCTACAGTTAGTGAGATGTTTTGCGTTAAGTCGACTTATTTTTATTCGCATTGATAAGATGTTTTTGCATTTCTCAATAAAATATACCGACAAAGATGGGAAGCTTTTAGGCATTGCAACTGAATTTTTCTTGATATGCTTAAAGCTTTTGTCTCTTCGAGGACAATCCTGTTGAAACTTCTTGATTTCACGACTTTGCTGAAATATTTAATAAGACGCAAAGACGTTACTCGCATTGACAAATAGCTCACGTAATTCAACAAAGTTTTTTTTGCAATGATTAAAAACTTCTACGTATTAGGTATTAATCATTACGTCTTCATGGAATGTTTTTGGTCAAAACGAGAAGAAACAAGTTGACATGACGTGAAACATTTAGAAATGTGTAAAAATTTACGGAAGCGTATCAGGGCCTACAGTCGGTGAGATGTTTTGCGCTAAGTCAACTTATTTTTATTCACATTGATAAGATGTTTTTGCATTTCTCAATAAAATTTACTGACAAAGATGAGAAGCTTTTAGTCATTGCAACTGAATTTTTCTCGATATGCTTAAAGCTTTTGTCTCTTCGACAAAATCCTGTCGAAACTTCTTGATTTCACGACTTTGCTGAAATATTTAATAAGATGCAAAGACGTTACTTACTCGCATTGACAAATTCAACAAAGCTTTTTTGCAATGATTAAAAACTTCTACGTATAACGTATTAATCATAACGTCTTCATGGAATGTTTTATGCATTACGTATTAATCATAACGTCTTCATGTAATGTTTTTGGTCAAAACGAGAAGAAACAAGTTGACATGACGTTAAACTTTTAGATAAGTGGAGGCCCTGATAAGCTTCCGTAAAAATTGAATAAAGTTAATTAAAAAAAATGGAATATAATAAAACAAAAAATCTCAACATTAAAATATTAGTTAAAAAGTAAAAAAGTGTTTTAAAGTTCCATTATATATAGAAAATAAAAGTTTTAAACTAATTATTAAGTAACTGCTAATACAGACTGATTTTATAAAATACTTTATGACTGTGAAATTCCATTCGATAAAAAGTTATATGTACCTTAATATTCCTGCATTTCATAAACATATTCAAAATACATCATCAGTACAGTTTCAAAACAAAAGTTTGAATATTATTTCGTGATATGAAATTAAATCATTGTTTTGTCATTCTTTAAAAACTTTATCAAAACTTTTCGTTAAATTATGATAACTAATCTTTCAATAGTACGTAAACTGATATCTCCGAAAGATTATCAGGGCCTCCACTTATCTACTTATCTAAAAGTTACACGTCATGTCAACTTGTTTCTTCTCGTTTTGACCAAAAACATTTCATAAAGACGTTATGATTAATACGTAATACGTAGAAGTTTTTAATCATTGCCAAAAAACTTTTGTTGAAAATTTAAATAAATCTAAATGCCCCACTAAGTGGGGTACGGAAGCTTCAAAGGGTCACCCCTTACGCGATCTTTTATGAGAAGATTTACGCAAGTCGAAAGAATTAAGGTGCAAAGGCATGATATCTTTAGTGTTTTCGCAAAAAATAATTCGAATAAACGAGAAGATTTGAGTTAATTGGCCAAATGTTTTCTTGCAAAAACAGAAACAATACACATAACGATTAATATTTTGACGAAAAATTAATAAAAGGTGTTTTTCGAAAAAAATGTAGAGGCAATACATGATGCATTTCACTTTCTCGAAAAAGATTATGACGGAATACCTCATTCATTTCACCTTCTCGCATTAACTTTTGTTGCATTACCATAATACATTTCATTTGATGAAAAAAAGTTTGCGCAATGCCTAAAGAGTATTCCGCTTTTCGTTATAAATTTTTTCGAGATCGTCTTCCGTTTTGCATACGATGGCTTATTATTTCGTTAAATAAGTTTTAATAAAATTGTGATATTCAAGACTACAGCAGGCAGCGTATTTGTGGAAGTCATGGAGAAAGTTCTAACAGTATTGGTATGATATTATAATTTTTATCATCATCATTATTAGTAGTATTACAATTAGTTGTAATAGGAGTTGTAGAAGTGGCGGTGCTGGCGGCGGTGGTTGTAGCAGCCCAGCAAGTATCAGTCTAAGTAGGTACATGTCGTAGTACACGCTTTGTTAGATTCTCACACATTTGCCTTTTCATGATAGCTTATTTCATAGTCAGTGATTTACGGTTGCCATTCCCTACATCATTTTGCATTTTAATCCACGGAAACAATTTCTTAAACAGGAGCTGTCACTGAAGTGACTTATGCCCCCGATAGGAAGCTCTGGCATAAAATTCTCAATATATGCCAAAATACTGGTTATATATGCCCGACCTCCTTTGATAAATATCATTCCTATAATAGTCTAAACAATTTTCACTTAAAATCATCATTAAGGGCCCATAACTGTGCGAAAAAAAAATCATGTACAAAATCATGGCACAATGCACAACTAGACTTGTCATGCATACAACTTTATAAATGCTCACTGAAATTTTCCAAGTGGCAAAGTTAATTTACTGAAATCAGGAACTATTTACAACTACGCTTGGTGGCATACAATTCTGTGAATAATCCCCCCCCCCTCTGTTTTGGTGATGAAGCGCGGACAAGGTTATTTAATCAAAAAATGAACATTAAGGGGCTATAACTGTCCCGAAATAGATTCAAGCGGAAAATCATGATACTATGCACAACTAGGCATAGTGACAAACAATCCTGTGACGTTTCACTAAAATCACCCATCAGTTTATATGATGAAGCGCAGACAAGCTTATTTCACTCGACAAATGACCGTTAAGGGGCTATCACTGTCCCAAAATAAGAATCAAGCTAAAAATCTAGATTATATGCACAATTAGGCATAGTGACAAACATTCCTGTGAAGTGTCACTGGAATCACCCATCAGTTTTCTTGATGAAGCACAGACAAGCTTATTTTACTCGAACAATGACCAGTAAGGGGCCATATCTATGTAAAAAAAAAGATTCAAGAGGAAAATCAATAACGTATGCACAACTAGACTTGGTGACAAACAATCCTGTGAAGTTTCACTGAAATCGCCCCATACAGCGCGAACGACAAAATAACTATATAACTTCAATTTATTTGTTCATCCAGACTCAACAGTATTCTTTAAATTACCTTAAAATTTATGTGGGCCCCCTCCCTAAAAATGGTTTAAAATTATTGTAAGCATGCAATAACAGGATAAACACTTACCAAACACAGCATTTTAGGAATCTTAATTAACCTTAGTATTTACTTCAGAAAAAGGGATGCATAATTATCAATATATATGATATTATTAAAAGTAAAATCAAAGTACTTAATATACTAGTTGTATTGCGACTGGCAACAGTAACCAATGAAGTACTTAACAAAGCATATCTCTGTTTCATTATAAAGAATTTAATTGCCAGTGCAGTCATATTAAAGAAATTCCATATGGAGGTTTTGCCAAACGTGTTATTTGAGGTAAGTATTGAAAATAATACAAAATTCAATAAAAAAAAGTTATGTAATATCAACACTTATATGTTTACCTTTCAAGGTCCTACCGATATCAAGGTCAAATTTCATTATGTGTTAGCTCACCTGCCACGTAACAAGATGAGCTTTTGTGGTCAATTTTCCCGTCGTCCATCGTCCGTAAACAAAGTTGGCGTTAACGCTCTAGCGTTTTCATTTTTGCTTTGATCTTGACTAAACTTTGTCAGAAAGTGAATCTCAATGTAAGGTAGATCATTTTATACAATGGATTATGTCAGGTGAAGGTCAAGGTCACAGTGACTTTGAAAACAAAATCAACAAATTATGATAATTTGTTATACATAATACTATGCTTGGAACAGTTTACCAAAATATGATAAAAAGAAATTTGCAAATGTAATAATATGAGTGAAATTTGGGTGCATTTATTTGAACCATACGAAAAATTGGAAATACCATATTGGCTGCAAATCTACCAACAGGCTTGTTATTGCTAAAACGCTTCTTGAGTGCAAATGTTTTGTATGCAATTTTCTTCTCTTGTGAACATGTTGCAATTCACTAGAAAGTACAATAAAAATGCAGTATTGAAGAAATGAAAAGATACTTTTAAAACACGGCCGCCATGAACCGGTTTCAAAAATATACTTCTACACAATGCCCAATGCCCACTCTGCCATTATACAGAAGAAAGGTAACATTTTTATTGCACACTACTTATTCACCATACCTTACCCCTTGCGACTTTTTGTTCTTCCGAAATTAATAGAAATTAAAAAAAACTAATACAAATTGCTGGAAATAGTTCTATATGATACAAGACAGACACTAATCTTGGATCTGCCTACTAGTATACCTAAATTAGCGTACCGTGACGCATTCCGGACTTAAATCATACATTTCTAGTAAAGGGGAGTACTTCGAGGGAATGACATAATGATATAACTGGTTACTAAAATATATTACATCCAGTTCCATAATAAGGAAATATTTTCGAATACTTCCTGTTACTCTGACTTTGATAACGAACATTGTTTTGAGTAAATATATTTATGGGTGGTACATGCATCGCATTCGATGTTCCAAACGGTTTAAAAAGTTGTGTTTAAGAAAGTTCATAGTGATGTGTGTTAACATTTACATAGTTGTTTGAAAGAGTCGATTGTTGTTGTTGTTTTAAACTCCCTAAAACACCCCGATAATTGGAAAAGTGCCATTCAACGTTGCAGTAGTATTGGTCCTAGTATTGCTAGCAGCAGAAGCAGCAGCATCAGCAGCAGCAGCAGTAGTAGTAGTAGGAGCAGCAGTAGTAAAAGTAGTATAAGTAGCAGCAGTAGTAGTAGTAATTGCCTAAGAAGTAGAAGCAGTATAAGTAGCAGTAGCAGCAGTAGTAGTAGTAGCTGAAGTAGGTAATAATAAGTAGAAGTACATGTGATAGTAGTAGCCAAAGTAGTAAGAGTAGTTAAGTAGTAGAAGTAGTATTTATATTAATAGTCGTCTTAGTCTTATGCGTCGTCGTCGTAGTCATCGTTGTTGTCGTTAGTCGTAATCTTTTATTTTACATATATTAATAGAAATAGATAATATTCTTTGCAAAAGTACTGAGAGACGCCTCCACATGAGCCAAAATATTTCAAGAAATTGAATCTTTGGAAACATTTATTAAGATCTTTAAAAAGTAAGAAGATTCAATAGTTAAGTAATTATTTACATGTTATGAGCGATTAATGACTGCTTTTGCAGTATCAATCACTAGTACTGCGTTACTAACGCAGTAAGAGATTTTTTATGTATATTTTGACCTCTTTTTGATTATTAACGTGGATTGTACATGCCGTTTGCAATGTATAAATGACTTTCTTTGTTCATTTTACAATACTTTACTTTTAAATACATTTTTAAATTTTTTATAAAAATAAGCAAGAACCTGGAGGCATGTTGCTATTGAATGTTGTTGTATTCAGTGAAAAATTCTAATAATTTACTTTGCTTTTTGATTAGTTTCAGATACTTCTTGTGGCAATTCATATCAAGTTGTCTTATGGTATGCTACCAGATGAGCTGAGCCTAAACGATACTGTCCAAAAATACTTCAATCTTGGTTATACGCATTCGGAAATGGCTGGAATGTTTTTGTTTGTTCACCATATTGTAGTTTCCAAAACTAAAATAAAAAGAATTCTTCGACGTTTAAACTTACGTAGGCGTGAAGAAAGCAACCCAGAGGATATTGCTCGTGGAATAGTACAGCTACATCGAGAGGGGTATTCCGAACTAGGATACAGAGCAGCATGGAGAATGCTTTTTTTGAAATATGGAATCAGAGCACATCAAAATACAGTGAGGATTTGTCTTAAGGCGTTAGACCCTTGTGGAGTAGTCAACAGGAAAGCAAGACGATTAAGACGTAGACAATATTTCAATCGAGGCCCAAACTTCGTAATTCATGTCGACGGATATGACAAACTAAAACCATTTGGAATATCAATTCATGGAGCTATAGATGGATTTTCCCGAAAAATTCTATGGTTGAAAGCTGCACCATCAAATAAAAACCCTGCTTTTATTGCATTTTATTTCATGCAACATGTCAAGAAACGTGGTCATGTCCCAAGAATGGTAAGGGTTGATGCAGGAACTGAAAACTGTACATTAGAGAACCTTCAGATCGCACTTAGAATGTCCCATACTGATAGCATGTCAGGGTACAATTCTGTTTCTGTTGGGAGATCAACTGCAAATCAAAGAATTGAAATGCTTTGGAGTTTCCTCTCGAGAAACTTTACTTGTTATTGGAAGAACTTCTTTAAAGATTTGATTGATCAAAACCTATTTGATAATACCGATCAGTTGCATATCGAATGCCTCAGACTTTGTTTTATGCCTCTCATTCAAAATCATCTTGACTGTTTTAAGAAATCCTGGAATATACATACGATTCGGTCACAAACTTATTGCGAGACTGTAACAGGTAAACCCAACATGATGTATTATCAGCCAAGAATGTTTGGTTATACAGATTGTTCGTTTGCAATAAATTGTTCTGAAGAAGAATTGGATAATCTGGTGCGGGTGTATACCGAGGAACCACCTATCCATGGTTGTTGCAGCGAAATGGTGCAGTTGAGTGAAAATTGGATGGGGTTAAATTCACATTTCTTTCAACAACTGAACACTGCAGAACAAGCAAGCGATGTTTATCAAAACATATTATCATCGCTTCATAGTCGATTACTACAGAATTAGGTTTTTTAGTGAGTGGGAAACATTTCATGGGGTATATGACAACGGTAGTAAATAGGCCAAGTGGAGTTGTTCTTATTATGTCTGTATTATGCACATGCAAATACATGTATGTTTGATAATTGTCAAAATGTTATGGAATCGAAATGTATTAATTTCCCTAAAATTATTTCATTTATGTACATATATCTGATAGTTTGTAAGGTAACGATAGATTAAGAATATCGAAACATATCTAATGTCAATTTGTCACATTTGTAGAGGTATTAAATAAAAACGGGAAAGTATTGTTTTCAAACTTTTTAATGTTATATGTTACAGACTAGAGTTATCTTTTAATGTGATGAATAACCCATTTTGTTTCCCTTGACATACGAAACTTACTTTTTGTGTCGCCTCTACGGAGTAGTGGCGACATATAGGGATCACTTCTCCGTCGTCTGTCTGTCCGTCTGTCCGTCTGTCTGTCTGTCCGTCCGTCCGTCACAAAACTTGTCCGGACTACTGCTCATAAACTACTGGTGCAATTTCATCCAAACTTTACAGGAATGATCAGTACCAAGTCTAGTTGTGCATATTGTCAGCATTTTCCGGTTCAGTGATTTTTGTCAGAGTTATGGCCCTTTAATAATTTTCAATTTTAAAGTTTGTCCGGACTACTTCTCTTATACCACTAATGCAATTTCAATGAAACTTTACAGGATTGATCTGTAGCTCAAGTCCTTGCGCATATTGCACGGGTTTTCCGGTTGAATGATTTTTGGCCGAGTTATGGCCCTTTGACAAAAAGGTGTTTTTTTCTGTCGTTGCCAGATACACAAAAGCTTGTCCGGACTACTCCTCATAAACTACTGGTGCAATTTCATCCAAACTTTACAGAAATGATCAGTACCAAGTCTAGTTGTGCATATTGTCAGCATTTTCCGGTTCAATGATTTTTGTCAGAGTTATGGCCCTTTAATAATTTTTATTTTTAAAGTTTGTCCGGACTACTTCTCTTATACCACTAATGCAATTTCAATGAAACTTTACAGGATTGATCTGTAGCTCAAGTCCTTGCGCATATTGCACGGGTTTTCCGGTTGAATGATTTTTGGCCGAGTTATGGCCCTTTGATAAAAAGGTCTTTTTTTCTGTGTGTTGCCAGATACGCAAAAGCTTGTCCGGACTACTCCTCATAAACTACTGATGCAATTTTATCCAAACTTTACAGGAATGATCAGTACCAAGTCTAGTTGTGCACTGTCCGTCTGTCTGTCTGTCTGTCACAAAATTTGTCCCAACATGAAATTGGCCATCATGAGGCGACACATGTGATTACTGATCGCTCTTGTTATTAATACATAATTCAATCAAATAAAGCTTATAGTTTATAAGCAGTTCAAAGCAACCTAAGTCTTGTAGATTTTACCTAGAGGTATACCAGAGCTTAAGTGAACACTTAATCTGTCAAACCTGTCCAGCCAACGTAATGCTCACCTAAAAATCTAATAATGACATCCTAAGGTATTTCTTTATGCTTGTAAGGCCCAATAATTTTATATGGGAACAAATTAAAAGACACGTAACAGGAAATGGTAGTAACGACTTCTGCATGTCCACAATAAAACATTTTAGATTAGTATTTAGTATACACAGCTTTGTTTATAAAGTCACCGTAATAAGACAAAATTATTTGCAAAACTGTTTTTACTAAACAAAGACAGTTCATTCCTTACGATGAATGCTTTCACTGTTGCATATCGACCCTTTAGACACCTGAAGCTATCAAACTTTCCCCGTGCTTTGAAAGTTCTTGGTTTGCAAACAGTTTTTTATTTATAATTTATAGCACTGACGGATCGAAAGGTCAAAAACCATATGCCCCTTCTGGAGGATAAAATAACAAAGGAACGCATCATGTCTTACACATCTGTCCACGAAAAGACTGTCAATGTCAAATGGTGGTAAAAGTCACATGTTAGTTTTTAAATTGAATTTAATGTAGGTCGCCTTTTGGAAAATAAAAACGCTCTGCACAAATGTCATCGGTACATGTATGTATGTATGTATGTATGTATGTATGTATGTATGTATGTATGTATGTATGTATGTATGTATGTATGTATGTATGTATGTATGTATGTATGTATGTATGTATGTATGTATGTATGTATGTATGTATGTATGTATGTATGTATGTATGTATGTATGTATGTATGTATGTATGTATGTATGTATGTATGTATGTATGTATGTATGTATGTATGTATGTATGTATGTATGTATGTATGTATGTATGTATGTATGTATGTATGTATGTATGTCTGTCTGTCTGTCTGTCTGTCTGTCTGTCTGTATGTATGTATGTATGTATGTATGTATGTATGTATGTATGTATGTATGTATGTATGTACACACCAATAAATATATATTGGGTCATGTAATGCACAAATCAGTAAAAATTCAATAATTTGACCTTCAAAGTCGAGGTCATTTATAAGTGAAGGTCAAGGTCTGTCTGATTATTTAAAAGGGCTATCCTTGAAGAGTTTGAAGACAATCGATCCAAAAACAAAAACAAAGTAACAGCCAATAATAGCAAGAACAAGCAAAATTTGGACATTTGACCTTGAAGATCAATGTCATTTATGGATGAAGGTCAAGGTTAGTGTAGTCTTCTGAAAGGTCTTGTCCCGAGAATAAGTGTGGCCAAGTATGAAGACAATACACCAAGAACTAAAAAAGTTATGATCTAGGTACTAGTTTGCAGCCGGCAACGCCACCAGGACTATAACAATACCTCTACTGTTTGTTTTTTGTTTGTTTGTTTTTTTAAAGTCAAGGTAAAAATGACCAAGACGATCAATGTCATTTAGGTGTCAAGGTCATATTTATTACTCTATTTAAAGGCGGTCTTAAAGAAATACTATAAAGGCAAATGAAGGTATACATAATTATAAATTAAGTTTATATTATTATTTATTATATTTGAAGGTTGACTATTCTTAATGCTTGATAGTAAAAGAGCCTTGAAAATGTAAAATTTTATGTGTTAATAACGAATGGAATTTTTTTTCTTTAATACATGTTACAGTTATAGGCCTTGGAGAGAGTCCTATTATGCTCTCAAAGAAGAGTATACAATTTCAACTTGTTTCAATAGAATATAAAAATATTTG